GGGCTGGACCAATTCAGTACTAGCACCTTATGCGGAATTGTATTCCATATAAAATGTGTTAACGCTCCATGAGCATTGGCAGTTGGTCCTCACATGCAGGGAACCTGTAAGGAATGTGTAGCAGAAAATATTCTGGAAGTGAAGGGTATAGTAGGTTATCCTGGCTACAGCATACTGTGTGCATGGACACAACTTGTTCAACATGAGTAAGTTTCCGTATTGTTGCTAACAGTTACTTGGCATTTGTAGTACAAATGTGCCAGTAGTGGGTTATTGTTATGTGTATCAGGGAAGGAATGTCAAATGGGGCTTTCAGTGACTTGGCATTCCCAAAGAGAACGTACTGATTGCAGAGGGGCATGATGACTAACATGGGAGAGACTAGATGGTTGATGGGTGGCTACTGTCATATCCCAGATCTTCCGCCTCCTTCCACCCTAGTCCTGGACAACTCCTATAACCTCCACCAGCCCTTCCAATCTCTCTCTGCTACCTCCAGTCAACGCCAACGATCCTACGACTACCTCCTCCTTTGACTCTCTCCTGCCCTTCCTCCCATCCACATCCGCATCACCTCCAGACCTCCCCTACCAGACCTCCACTTCCTCGGACCCCTTGTTCAAAGGATACAGATCTACTTGTTGTTGGTAACCCTCAACTTGTTCCATCCACCCTCCTTCATACTTCCAGTCTCCACACCTCCATCACCTCCAGTTGTTGTCATATCTGTACATACCTGATCCTGATCCGACTCCCGGACCCCCATCTCCACCACCTCTGGAGTCCTACCCTACCGCCGTCCGTTCTGATATTCACCTTCGGACCTGACACCACTCCTCCTCTCACCCCTCATGCCACCTCCACCCTTCCATCCATCTCCCTCCTTATCTCCATCCACTCCGATACTCACCTCAGACTGAACACCACTCCTCTCACCACCCTCCTCCTCTCACTCCTCCTCTCACTCCTCCTCTCACCCCTCACGACACCTCCACCCTTCCGCCACTCTCCCACCCTTCTCCTGTCCACTCTGATACTCACCTTCGGACCTGACACCTTTCCTCTCCTCCACTCCTCTCCCCTTTCCTCTCTTCTCTCTCCTTCCTCTGACCCTCTCCTGCCAACCCTCTGCCAAGTTACAACCTTCTGCCGCTGTCCCTTACCTTGTACTCAGACACCGCTCGTACCTTCGCTCCAAGATCCTGTCATAGTTCTGACCTCGGACTTTGACTCCACCTCGGCTTAAGTCCATTGCATTGGTGACCTCATACTACATAAACACCATTGCCAATATTCCTCAGACTTCCAACCCCACCTCCGTAACCTCTGTAACCTCTGAGCTCCATGGATCATACTCAGCACTTTCACCGCCTGTAATGTATCTTTTGCATTTTCCCCTCGACTGCTGCTTCTTCCCATTCTAGCCAGTTAGTCATCATCCCACTTCACCGCATCCTCCTGCCCCTCAGGCTTCACCCCCCCTATCTCCTTTTGGACATACCACAGGTTCTGACCTATGACCTTCGGTACCGCTCCGCTTTCGTCTTCCCTTTGTCCCATTCGGACACCTTTGTTCCGATTCAGATCCTCCTTGTTTCCTCGTGCTTTCGCCCTCTCTATATACCGGTGCTTGTACATACTTGTTTTAGGCCCTTAGTCTAAAATCGACCTGAAATGCCCCCTAGAGACTTCCTGCTCACTGCCTCTGAAATTAAGGACCAAATGGACAAACAGCAATGGCACAGCACTCCACTTGAGTCGCTGAGGCCAAGGTCCCTCCTTGCTAAGTCTCCAGTTCCCCTCCGGAATTGTCTGCCCTCGCCCAGTTCTAACAGTCGTGTATCTCTGGTACCTCCCTACTCCTACCCTACCTCCGGTCACGTTATTCTTTATTGTTTTATCATTTGATATTTTCTACAACCCCAATCTTCTGGACTACAACTTCCAAGCTCCGGACCTTTCCGGATGTCTTCTCCTGTAGTCCCCTGCTCATTCATAGATGGGCCCAGGCCCTACCATTCAGTTGATTTCTAATCCTCCCACTCCACAAACCTCAGACATAATTTGGGCTTTTCGCCTAGTCTATATTTGTCCTGTGGATTCCTTTCTATTTACTTCCTCTTCCCCTTGGTAACCTTTGTTTACCTTCGGATCCAAATCATCTCTGCTATATGTACATGCATACCCCTCTAGTAAATAGTTCCCCCCAGTTATAATATTAAGTCTTTAGCCCTTGAATCCAAACCCCTTCCAGGATGTCTATCGCATTCTGTCATATCCATCCCCGGCCATCGACTTCTGGTCCCTCCGATCCCTCCAGTCTAACTCCGCTCCTTCCTCACTAACCTCGGAGCTCCCGTATTCCGCAATCCTCTCGGTACCCCTCGATGGTCACCACCCCCTCATTTCAATTTATTACCTACGCCTCCCTAAGTACGGAGCCCCAAAGACTTCCGGACAGCTCCGACGTCTGCTAGCGCACTCCTGCCTCTGCTGGGCAATACACTTGCCTGCCCTGCAGAGCCCACCTCCGGGCCTATCCCTCCTTTCCGTTTCTGGGTTATCGCCTGCCTTCCCGCTAACCCTGCAACCCGACTCGTCGGTAATATTCAGTTGGCTAATGTTTAACCCCGTTAGCTCCGCTCCGTTCGGCTCCGCCAATTGCGGACCCATCTCTGCTGTAACCATATATATATCCAACTTGTACATAGGTTACACTCCAGTAATAAAATCAACTAGAGTTACCCCCCTTCGGTTCTGATTGCCAGTCAGTAAGTTAGGGCACGGACGTGTCACTAGGCACAGCGCTCTTGGCATAAGTCGCTGAGGCCAAAGCCCTCCGCTACAGAGACTCTCCCTCGTCTCGAATCCGGTCTCTGACACATTCTACTTGTCTGCTACTCCACCCTGAACCAAGAGCTGAGTGACAGATGCGTCTAAAGGTGCCTTGGTATAAAACCCCAATGAATTGCGTGACGAACAATGGACCCTCGCTAATGCCTTCATCATTAAGTAGTGAGGGGGGGCTTCTGGTCCCCTTCCACTGGTGACCCCTGTTCCTCTGTCACCAGTCCCCCTGACAAATTGGGGACAATGAGGACATAACAGGCACAGCGCTCTGTTCCAAATTGCTGAAGCTGAGTCCCTTCAACATCCTGTCACCCTTGGAGCTCCACCCCACCTCTGGCCTGTCTCCGACCCACCATCGGATGACCCGGAACACTGAGCTCCACCAGACACACCTGCCTGGGTAGCAATCAGACATTCCCCAGGTGGGTTCGTGACATACTTGGCACTTGTGCAATGAGCATGCTGGCATCATGGGGAATGGAGTCTTCACAGTAGTTATGGACCCAAGCAACATAGTATGACAATCCCTGTCAAGCATTAGAGGGAGAACAAGGTGATGGCATCCTGTAGGGCATGGGTTCCAGTGAATGATACACAGGTTGTGAGGCTTTGACTCGTGACCTTGAGTTCTCCCAGCAAGAGCCACCAGAAGACTCAGCATAGCCAGACATATTGGACATGTTGAGATTTGTACACACACAGGTTCAGTTGAGTCACAGAAGGGCCTACTTGTACCTCTCTCTAACACTCAAGATCGCCCATGGAGCCACCCATGATAGCCTGGCTCTGTCCAAGGCTGACATGGCACCCTCATGTGACCTGTTCCCACTTGTATATAAACTGAGCCAAAGCAGAACCAAAGAAGTAGCCTTCTTCTCATTCCTGCTTCAAGCAAGTACCTTAGCTTAGTTCAGTTTAGCTTTTCATTCTAATAACAACCCATTCCTGCTTCAGTCTAAGAAGCCAGACAGGGATGCGAGCCTAAGTGAGGGCTGTCCACTATACACTCCCACTACTCCACTGCCACCCAGGCTGCTACTGCTGCGCGCTATGCCAATACCCCCACCTCTCCTGTGCTGTCCCTGACACATAAGTACAGAATCATTGGGACTGGTAACTGTTAGATCGGGCAGATTTGGACGACTCCAGAATGGAATTGGAGACTTAACATAGAAGGACCTTGGCCTCAGTGACTCAAGCGGAGTGCTGTGCCATTGCTGGTTGTCCTGGGGGTCCCTAATTTCGGATCTAGCAGAGGGGAAGTCTCTTGGGGGGAAATCAAGTTGATTTCGGACTGAGGTTACAAGTTACTAAGTACATTGTATATAAGGAGGGGTCCAGAATCAAAAGGAACAAGGGTAGGATGAAAGGAGACAAAGGGAGCTGGAAAGAGGAACAACACCAAGGGTCAAGGGTTTGACTCAATGGTGTTTCTCAAAGGAGGAGTGAAGGGGCAAGGCCCAAGGAGGAAGGAAGGAGGATGGGAGTTGGGAATGGCTAGCTGACTGAATCAGCAGCCCAAATAGGAATGAGGGAGAATAGCAGAATTGAAATGGGACAATGCAATAGCTGCAAGGTCTGAAGTCCGGAAAGTCTGAACTCGGAAGTAAAACTCCAGAATATTGGCAAAGGTAATTAAATGGAATGAGCTAACCAATACAATGGGTATAAGCAGAGGTGGGGTCAAAGTCCAAGGTCGGAGCTAAGACCAGAGGTTCTGGAGACAGAGACGCAAACAGGATTCCAGAGCAGAGGTCCAGAGTCGGGAGCATAGGTGTTGCATGCTCATCTGGAAGGTGTCAAGGTTGAGGTTGGACCCGGAATGTTCGGAGTCGGACCGAAGGTGGTGTCGGAGCCAGAGGTGGGGTAACCTCTTGGGTGTCAGCAAGGAGAAAGGTGATGGAAGGGAAGTGGGGCTCCGGAGTCAGTTTCGGAGTTCCGGGAGCTTGGAGTGTAGGTCGGGATTGTATGGATATGACAGTAACTCTCCTTGCATCCAAGCGAGATCAACAGGGTCATGACCTAGCAAATGTGACCCATTTGGTTCAGTTTGGGCCACCAGACAACCTAAATACATCAACTCAGTGTTTTGGAAGAGCTGCTTGGGCAGTTGGAATTCTTCTCACACTGAAGGATTATTTTGAAGAGACATGTCACCAGCAAGAGGAGAGGGCTCAGAAGATGGTACAGACCAGAAAGTGGAAGGCATCTGCAGCTTCCAGCAAGCAGAGGTCAAAGATGGGGAACAAGTGCCAAAGAAAGCTCCCTCTGGAAAACCACATCAACGTCACCTTCCCCTGGAACATCAAGAATTTGACAATTACCTACTCAAACTCCACCATCCAGACACTGATCTACCACCCAGGATGGACATGTGGCCAACTAGCAACATTGATATTACTCCATTCAAAAATGTCAATGTCAATGACACCAAGAATCAACTTGACCCAGAAGAGGAAAAGTGGGCTGAGTGGGATGGATTGACTCTTACAGATCTTGAGGCATTAATAGATGATGCTGAGAAAGATCTGCAAGATGGTTCACCTGGTTTGTGGCAACAGGATCACAGTTTAGACATTGTGGAAAATTGACAAGCACATGAGTGGCCCACACCAAGGACTTTTGTCAGAAGCTCATGGACCATTCACAGATAGAAGAGTGCAATCAGGAGGGGGCACTGTGATGAGCCTAGACCAGGAAGATGAGCTCTGCAACCAGGAGACTGCGGAAATGGGCATGAAAACACCAAAAGAGCCAAAGAAGATCCAGAGAAGAAACCCAGGGGATTGGGAGAATGTTGACCCTGGGATGGATGCCTTCATTAATGTGTGTTGGCTTCCAAGAGAAGGCCCTTGCCATGGGTGCCAGAGGAGAGTCCTTGAGGCTCATTTTGGGAATGACCATATCCATATGTATTGTTAGGGCCATGTCATCGATGTAACTCACATCTTATGTCAGCAAAGCCTCATGGATGCTGTAAACACTGTGGCCTGTGCAATCCTGTGACCTGCTGTGATCTCCATAGCCCCAGTCTCACCACATCAATGTTCACTCAAGGGCTTAGAGAACCACCTGCCAAGTGGCTGCCTCAACATGCAAAACCCAACTATGAGAGCTGCTCCTCTCAGCTAGGCAAGGCACTGCAGGACTGGTGAAAAGAGGAGTTTTCCCACCATCATTGTGATCGTCTTGATGACATCTGGCTAGGAGACTGGATAGCACTTGGTGACATGATCATTAATGATATTGTCTACCATGCAAATTCCAACAAACTATCAACTCAGCAAGATTTTATGCAGATCATTGATTGGGAAGAGTGCAGCCACTATGCACCAGTGTTGTTGCCTATTATCCACCAATTTTTCCCACCACCTGTGTCTGCAGCTGGAACTGAAGCTGTGGTTCACACTTGTGCAAAAAAGTGTAGTAACTGCAATGGATATTGTTACAGATATAGAGTCTCCAATGACCATATCTGTCACTCAGTCAAAGATCCCCTTCCCTCTCTCTCTCCCTCCTGCTACCCTTCATATACTTTCCCATTCTACCCCCCCCCCCCCCCCTCATGCAAAGCTTTCCCCATTGGGGTTTTGGTGCTGGCCAAGGTTGTTTATATTTAATGGGATTTCCCATGACCATTTTACTTGTAGGTAGTCATGTATGGAAACCACCAGAGGCAGTTCCCACTAACTACTACAACTACTACAAACCACCTTGTGCACTGTCGATGTGCAGTGCATCTGGTGGCACAGTACCCATGTGGGGTACCTGGCATTGGATGCATCTGTGCTACAGGTGTAAGAAAGGGGGTCATCCATATAAAGAAAGGAAGGAGGAAAGCAAGAAAGAAAAGGGAAGAGAGGAGGAAGAAAAGGAGGGAGTGGTGCAGTGTGGAGTGGTGTGCCCTGACACACAGGAACAGGAAAAACTTAGACTTTTTCCCTTCCTGCCCTTTATGAGAGGGACAAACTGGGGGTCTCAGTCATAATTGTCCCACTAAGGAAGCTTGCAGATCAGCATTGTTATGGAAATGGGATTTTCCCATTTTTACCCTCTTATGGGCTCTATGCAGTACAATATCACGTGACATGTATATAATAAGAACTTAGCCATCAATTACTACCCAAAAACACTCCTGTCCATGTTATTGTAAACACCACTGTTATAACTTCTGTTACATTAACTATAACACTCTTTCGATGTCATGGCCCTCTCCTGCACCTGAACGCTATAGAAATGGGCCAATTAGGCCCCATTTTTATAACAAGCATGTAGAGAGTGCTAAGAGTTTAGGACTCACCACAATGGCATCAGAAGCAAGGACTATAGACAAGGAAACTGTGAAGGCATGTACCATCTAATAAGTAATTGTTTGCACATAGATTTATGTTACTCACCAAGTAGGAGATCAGGAACCTTAAATATCAGATGGTTGTTCTGGGGCCCAATTTACTCCAAGGGGGCCTCCTTAGAAGCCTCTGGATGCAGGACAACTTTGTTAGTAATATCAATTGTATTATTGTCGATGTGGCACACTGCACAGTCCAGTGGCTGTCATTCAGAGAAAAGTATAGAAACCTGGCATGGCTTTACTCATACCTCCGGAATAGATACCAATGGTATCTCACCTCTGCAACCTTGGATCCTTGTATATGCAGGAAAGTATAAAGCATAATTGGGATGGATCCATATTACAACACTCATGGAGGCCTGACAATGAAATGGATGTGTCGTTCCAATGACTGTCCAAATCTCCATTAGTGTGTCCATCAAAGGCAGCACAGCAAAGATTCCTGCTGCAACCTGGGATTCCTCATCCCCCTGGGCCTAAAAGAGTCCATCCCCCCTCCAGCCCCATTCCTTGTGTACTGCAAGTCTTGGGCTGATGCTGAGTGCAGTGCAAATTTCCTGAAGCCATGAGTGTGTGTGTCCTTAAGAGATAAATTCTGGGATGTCAGACAGACATAAGTTGATGGTAATCAAGTTATTTAAGGGAGGGGAACTCATTGGGCTCACAATGTCAGGACATGCTACTCCCTCCTTTTCTTCTTCCTCTCTTCCCTTTTCTTTCTTTCTTTATACAGATGACCCACTTTCTTACACCTGTAGCATGGTGTTACCAGGATAAATCCATGCACCACAAAACATAGTTTCTACATATTTCAGCATGTAGAACACACACCATACATGTCAGGGCAATAGCCCCAAATGTCATATCCATACAATCCCGACCTCCCAAGAGGTTATCCCACCTCCGGCTCTGACACCACCTTCAGTCCGACACCGGAACATTCCAGGTCCGACCTCAACCTTGACACCTTCCAGATGAGCATGCAACACCTATGCTCCTGACTCTGGACCTCCACTCCGGAATCCCGTTCACATCTCTGTCTCCAGAACCTGCGGTCTTAGCTCTGACCTCGGACTTTGACCCCACCTCCGCTTATACCCATTGTATTGGTTAGCTCATTCCATTTAATTACCTTTGCCAATATTCCGGAGTTTGGCCTCCGAGTTCGGACTTTCCGGACTTACTTCGGACCTTGCAACTATTGCATTGTCCCATTTCACTTCCACTATTCTCCCTCATTCCTATTTGGGCTGCTTGTCATATCCATCCACAGCCATCATCCTCAATCCCCTCCGGTCCTCCAGATTCCCTCCACTCCTTTGTCACTAACCTCGGAGCCTCCGGTTCCCGCAATCACCTCCGACCCCCTGATGGTCACCACCCCCTCAATTCAATATATTACCTACACCTCCCGAAGTACGGAACCCTGAAGGCCTCCAGACAGCTCCGACATCTGCTAGCACACTCCTGCCCCCGCTGGGATTCACTTGCTTGCCCTGCAAGTCTACCTTCGGGCCTATCCCTCCTTTCCATTTCTGGGTTATAGCCTGGAACCCCGAGTCACATGTAAATTAGATACATATAGTCACGTGGGCAAGCGGGAACCTCCGGGTAACTGCTTACACACCACCGTAAAATACACTATCTTGTATCACTTATGGCCTTGTGTGCTGAGCTACCCTAAGACCTCACACTTTTTTAAGTGCATGAGGTGTGTTTTACAACACAACCCACAACTCTACAATCTTAACATCTGACTCGGAAGCGCCTATGGTGCCTAAACACGCCTGCAAGGGCAAGGTCACATCTGCAGCGACACTAAAAAGAAATGAGTGGTTTATAAAGAAACTGCAATCTCCCATCATGGGAGATTCAAACCAAAAGCCGTCGTCAGACGACGACGAGGATCAACATGATCCGGCATTAGCAACCACCTCAGGGCTGGTCCCTGAAGGTTTTAGAAACTTACGTGGAGTAAGTGCGGGGCAAAATACCCCCAGAACTCCACAACATACCGATCTAACCCAAGCTGGGGAAGATCCCTCACCTCCTCATGAGGTGATCGACTTGCGCGAAAAACGCGTAAGCGCCGAACGATCAGCCCAAAAAGCTGATCAGATAGAGTCACAGGAAACTCCAGGGCCCCACTATCCCCTGGAGCCCCCCCTCACATCCCCAAGTCAAGCCCCAAAGGCAGACAAAGGGAAACAAAGGGAAGAGCCCCTGCGTCGGCTATCCGAAAAACTACTGGACTTGTTCCAGGTTCCGTCTGAATGGAGGACGGAAAGTGAAGATCAACTTCTTCTCAGGCTGAAAGCCTGAGAAGGTGCGAAAATACACCCTGAGAGCAGGATCTCCCAGAGTGTGGAAGCTCCAAAAGAACTTCCGCTGTTTACACTCCCACACACCATGCCAGACAAGGCAAGGTCGCCAACCTCGGAGGAGGTCTCTGAGATAATGAAGAGGAGGCGAACTGAAATGAGGGAGTTTGCTGAGGAAGCCTTACGAAAAAGTAAGGAAAAACCAGCGAACAAACCCCTTTATGAAAGGGAAGCACCCTCCACAACGGCCTCACCTAAACAAAGCGAGCGTGGAGTGTTCACTCCAAGAACCCATTCTGGAACCCCCAGAAGCGGAAATGCCAACTGGGGAGAGTCACTGCTTGCCCAACCAAACTTCCTCCTGGAAAACCAGGAATCACGCATAATAAACGCGATAAACTCGATCCAAAAAAAGATCGAGGAAACGAACCATAATAGCATGGCTCGTCTAGAGATAACTCTAGAAAGAATGGCCAACGCAATCGACACGTTGACTGAAAAAATCAGCGAACAAACAGATTTGCTGAAGGAAATAAATTTCTCATAAAAAAGTGAGGAAACAAATAAACACCCCTGGACCACGGTCCAGGACATAAATAGAACTCGTGAAAAATTCACGAAAAGAACCACCAGTGAAAGCACACTGGAATATCATCAGCGACTCGACAGAGACGCTAAGGAGATCCTTCTCCCAAGGATAGGAGAAGACAATGCCGAAAGAAGGCATCGTTCAGAGATTAGGAGGAGAATTGGCATGTACCAAAGGTTCGGCCAAACGTCCACTTATGACGGACCTCTCGAACAGAGAGGTAACTCATCCACACCCTCTCAAAACAATGAGAGAATGCAAATACAACTTCAGGCAAATTCACCTGAAACCAAAGAAACGCTGCAAGGAAGATTTCCCCCAGCAAAAACCCCCCCAAAGGAGAGATCTCCATTGGATAGCGACCCCGTGAAGGCAGGGGAGCAAGAAGAGTACCTGGAGAAATGGTACGAAAAGGCCATAAGAATGGCCGAAGTGAGAATACTCACTCCCTACCCAGAAGGAGTGAAACCAGAAGCCCTAAAGAATGGGGCAGTATTCCCTGACAAGAAATGGTCAGGGGAGAACGACATGGAATCGTTCTGGCAGTGGTTCACAGAACTACTGGGATTCCTCGCCTCGTGAGGATGCAAAGGTCCCCAATTTGACGAAGTCCACCTGGACTGCTTGATTCGTGGATTAGGGGGCCCGGGTTTGACCTCGGAATTAGACTCCGAGACGAAACTCTCCTCAGAGGAGACGAGGGCATGTTCCTCGAAGTTCTCAACATATTGATGAGAACCTTCATCAAAGCCTCCGCCACGTTGAATGCGACAAAGAAATACCGCAACATCAAATACAAAGCGGAAAAAGGCCTAAAACAGTTCTACTTAGAACTGTCAAAAGCAGCGTCCCAGATGGTGACGCTGCCAGACCAGGCGTCCTTCAATGCCAGGT